CAGGAAAATTAGAGGGCTCTATATTGTCCATGTTGTAGTGTTAATTGTGTAATTCTTGCTCTTTTAGTAAAATGCCTGTTGAGAGTAGCATGGCCACAACATATGCTTTCCAGTTCATTAACTCTCACAAAAATGGAAGCAACTTTGTTGCATCCTCTTGAAGAGAAATTGAAGAGGAGAAAAGTGTACAGAAATACAACAACCCGCAGGAGAAAGAAATACAATCTTACATTGAGTTAATGTACTTGTTAGGGAAAGTGGGTTTGGGAATATACTAAAATATTGTAGTAGGTTGTTGCTGCAATATGAATATTCCCAATCCTCATGATATGATAATTTCTTGTTTATAATGTTATTTTTGCTAGATATGTCATTCCTAAGCATTTTCTAGTTGATTTGCAGTGAGGAAAAAAATCAAAATATGGACATATGCTTTAAAAAATGAGCATTAAAGGCCTGAATTCATGTACCTTAATTTCATGCAAGACTTTCCATTTTCCCTCAGACATTAAAATCACTTTCTGTCAAGAAATAGAAAAATACCGGATGGTCTCACTCATAGCAGGAATCTAGAAAACTTAAATAAGGGACCAGGAAAATGAATAACTATAAGAAAGTGAAAATCAAAATCAACAAAAAACTATGAACCAGAGACACTCTATGGAGGGTGTGGGGCGGCGAGGGGAGGGATTGGGGTCAAAATAAGGGGGTTGCAATTGTATGGGGAATATAAATATAAAATTTATTTTAAAAAATCACTTTCTGTCTTGATTCATCAAACATTTTACATATGTACATCATTTTAAAATGTAGGCTTTGAAAAGATGAAAAATACATTAGTCTTTCTTCTTTTTTACAATAAAATATTACTAAGAAGAGTAACACCATAATACAAACAGCTTTATTTATACATGTGATGATATATACACATAAAACTTGGTCTTATTAATCCACCTGCAAAACACTAAGCTTTTATTTACCAAGGACCACACGAAGTGCTGATTGAGGTGTTATTCAAAGTGAAAACAAAGATAAAGAAAGCCGAGCTTCTTTTCACCCATTGAACCCGATGTTAAATATACCACTTGACTTCAAAATCCATCTTGATGGCCCCATGTTCTAGAAAGTCATATCAGAGGTTTTCTCAGTGAACTTTCTAAAGGAAATAATTTTTTCTATATATTGGCACAAAAGAATAGATGTGCTGTGAAACCACACAAACCTGGGAAATCTCACAGTTCTTGTGTCCTCACAGACTCACAGAGCAACAACGGGGTTTACTTACAAAGCAGAAATAAGGAAATTGGGAGAAAGGAGAGGGCTACTAAGACCACAGATGGTCATGTGTCCTACTCCAGATAAAGTCCAGTGGTCCAAAGCGAAAGCTGCTCATAGGAGATGCTCTTCCTTTGATGAGATTTGGGAGCTGCTTTCACGTTGATAAGCTGTGGACAAGAGTCCAACTTTCTGGCAGCTGGAGGTAATCATGGGTGGCACTGCTGAGGCTGTATTGCAGCAGCCAGTGGCACCTATCCAGAGGTCTAGCTGACAGCACCAGAGGCTACAGCAATCGGAAGAGATGCTGGTTGTACCAGAGGATCAGAAGCGGTGGGCAGCCCTTAGAGTTGGCGGGGCATAGGTTAGCAGTGCCAGTCAGCGCTGGTCAAAAGGCAGAAATATGGAGAATGGAGCAGCATTAGACAGCAGAGGAGGTGCCAGAGGATCAGGCACCATTGCACAGGCCAGTGGCATCAACCAGCAGATGCTATGGAAGCAGAGCCAGAGGCAGGAAGTGTACTCAAGCAGTCAGGCAGCAGCAACTGAAGAGTCAAAGCAACAGGTTGGAGAAGGCAGGAACAGAAAATCTTGACGATCTGAAGCAAAGGTCTTGATGAGTCAGGGAGGTCTGAGTGTGAATCTACTGCCCCAGTTCATGTCCCTTTCAGGGTGCCCAGATCTCATACCTGACTGATTCATTTTCAAAACTGATACCATTTCAACAACTTGATTGGAGCCATTGCAAGCTCAAACCTGACTGGCACGTTTTCAAAACTGCTCTGGTTTCCAAACCCAAATCCCAGAGGTGCGTGAAAACCTGCCCTGTGCTGACATTGGCTGCCAAACCCAGCTGGTACCTGACGTGGTGGTGGGCACTGAGGCCCCACAGCAGAACAAGGCACACCCTGCTGCACCCCCAGTGCAGGAGCTATGGGACTCCTGTTTCAACTGTTTCAGTAGAAAAGGCATTAATTATGTATACTAGTATCACATACATTAAAATTATTACTTATTTTTATCAATATTGTAATTAAGCTTTATTAATTTTTTATTTAAGGCAAACAACTATTCCTGATAAAGCATTTATTATTCATCTATGGTACACTTGGGTAATCTGAAAACTAGACAAATCGAGTACATGGAATCAAGGCAAATACTTGAAATGTCAAGCGCACCTGTGTGCTCGCCCACTGGCCAATACAGCCACGTGTCCTTGGTTCCCCAGACTTCTGCCCAGGAATCCTTGCTCTGAGCTACTGGAAGACACTTTATTCCACCCATACTTCCTTACCAGTAACAAAAGTTGGGGCAGGATGTGGAAATACTTTCCTTGGAGTCATGCTATAACCTAGAACAAAGCTTAACATTAAAATATACTGCCAAATTTGGTATGTTCTCAAATTGTTTTCTGAATATTTTTACACAGATTTCAGATGGAAACGTTGAATCCTGGCCCACCTGTTTGAAAACAAGACTACTTTGCAAGTGCATGTGGGGCATTGGCCAGCTTTCTCGAAGGCTGAATTAGAACAAGTCCTATGATTCTCAGGCCTTTATAACAGCCACTAAAATGAAGGGAGCCCCTTTATTTTCGGGTTTAATTCCTGTTAAACAAAGGATCAGCAATTATGGCAAATCAGTTATCAATATGGTCATTACTTACCAGTAACATATGGATAATATAATAAACTTTAAATCCTGTGAGGTCACAATGTGGACATCCATTTAATTACGTTTCGTTAAGGATATGGTGAGGACTAATATGTGTAAAAGCATTAAGCAGGTGCTTTCATAAGAGCTATTATTGTTTACAAATCAAAAATATTTGATTTGAGCTATGGATATGATCCAGTGGTACTTGTATAAACACTGATGTGAAAGAAGGAAATATTTTGCCTCAGTGGCAACTCATTTAAGTCTTGAGTTTTTATGTCTAGTGTGGAACTCTAAACCCACTGGGATCCAGTAAGGACTAATTAAAGCAAGACAAAAAATATTGCTTTCCCTTTCAATAAAGACAAGCTTTCTAAGATTTTCTGCATTCTTCTCATTGGTCACATCTCTTACATTTAAATACATTTCATATTTTACCTTTATTCAGGCCTCTATTTCACCAAGGTCTCATTACTGTCTGGAATGGACAACATGAAAAGAAGTAACTGACCAGTTCTCATTATATCCTCATCATTCTGAAATCTTAATCAAATTCCATCTCTCTTATTTAGGGATAATGACTCATTTTTATGGATTCTTAATGCCACTGTGTATAAAAGTGCATATATATTAAGTATTTGGCTTTAATAACCTTTCTATAGTTTAATAGCATTTCTCAACAAGCCATTAATTTAACATTAGGCACATTATCCTATGGGGACATTTCATTTCCCAATATAGTGTTATTCTAAGATGTTCTAGATGTTTCAGAGTCTTAAATCTATGCAGAAATTTTAAATCTAATCACAGTTAATATGGAAATAGTCTTCTAGATGTGACCAGCTCTTAAATTTAGTTTGAATGCCTGTCTAAGTTAAGTAACCTTTCTTTGGTTAGTTTTCAATTTTTAATTTTTAATAAAAATCACTTATACTTACTGTATTTATGCAATTGACACTGAATTTGGTAAATTATAATTTCATTACTATGCCCATAACTTTTCTACCAATTTCATTCAATAGCATACAAATATACATACAACTATACCTACACACAACAATAAAGTAAAAATGAGGAAAAGGGAAATGATTTCTATGTTTCTTTTGTATCTGAGTTTATTTCTTCCTAATTTAAAGTCATAGCTTCTACTCATTCCTATAGCAATTATGTGTTCTTTTATATTACTCATGAACAAGTACATGGACTTTGAATATGAGCCATCATTAGATATGAAGAGTAAAGTGATGTTCTTTAAGATATCCTAGAACTTCTTAAACACCCAGGTTCTGAACTAATATTACAGTAATACTCAAATTTAATGCATGATGTACTTATTCTAACATAAACTATACATCACTGACATATCAATAAAAAGTTCTATATTTACTGAAGCATCCTTTCCATGTTATACCAGTTTGAAAATGTGAGATGTTCTGGTAACCAATTGCAATGGAATTGGAGTAATTGCTTCTTGTGCCCCTCAAACTAAGCTGAACAGGGGGGTGCCTGCCTTTTGCCAGCTTAAGTTGGCACTTTCCTGAGGTAAAGATATCTACTGTTATACTCTGAGGAGGTCAGGGTAAGCACACTTTGGTCTTTGATCAGGATTTGCTGCATGTCTGGAGGGAAAAAAGGCTAAATAATATAGCTTCGTGCATGAATTTGTCCTTTATTTAGCCATTGAAATCAATAACCCAAATTGCTACAGAACACCCAAAATAAAATGTGGTTTTGGAAGAGATTAGGAGTCTAAGTAGAGCTGAATGTTAAATGTTAACAGCATTAAACAAAAAATCAGTGAACAGTAAGAATGTTTGCCATTTTGCATTCTGCAACGTTTATAGATACTGCCATTGCTTTAAGTGGCTTTAATAATAGTGAATAAATGAAAACCTGTACAAAAGCTATTTTTAAATGCCATAGAGATGAGTAAAGTTGTTGAAAGTCATATTTGCAACAACTCTTGGACAAATTTTCCATGGTCTCATGGGGCAGCTTAAGAACAGGATGTAGATGTTTATATTTCTAGTTAGATTTTTTTTTTTTGGTGAAATTAAAAGAAGAATTTAGATTCAAGTTATTTTTATACTGATAGCCATGAAATATTGGGAGATAAAAATGCTTTTATAAAAGGTTATAATCATGTTTTTTTTTTCATCCCTGTAATTATTGTTAATTCTTTCATCAAAATGGTTGATAAAATTTCAAGTTTAGTAAAGTACCAGAGCTCTATGCTGATCTCTGTGGGTTTGGAGAAGGGTCATTTGGTTGGTGCCCAAAGGATAAAGTGAGATGTTGAGTGAAAATTGTAAAAAGTGACCAAGTGTGTTTTCAAAACAAACATTTAATTTAGCCCACATGCAATCTAAAATACAACAATAGAACAAAGAAGGGGAGAAGCTAAGATGTAATGAGATCTACTAGTGATATAATCACAATCAAATGTTTGCAAATTCAAGGTCATTGGTTGAGAAACGCTGTGACAGGTCAAGCTTTACAAAGAAGAAGAGTGAAGGAAGACCTGTCATTTAGCTGGTTACAGAGGTGATATTCAAAAGGTGGAATATGGGCAATCTTGAGTAATTTTCTTTGTTCCCAGAAAGAAACAAGCTTAACTCTCACTAATTTATTATTATATCAAAAATCCAGCCAACTTACTTTGCAGTGCATACTCGTTCTTATATCTTTAGTCTTTCAACATTTTCAGGCCCTAATTGCTCCTATGCAAAAGGAAAACACAATGCTAGAAGCCATTCAAATGAAAAAAAGGAGTATGTTCATTGATTAAAAGGAAAAATGGCATATACTAAATGATCTCTATCATACTTAGTGATATTTATGAATGCCAGAATCAAACAATTTTAAAACATTTTGTACCCAAAAGCAGCAAAAAAAAAACAAAACCGCAACAGCAACAACAACAAAAAAAAAAAAACCCAGCAAGTAGCACACATGGTTTAGGAGAGAAATTGATGCCCAAATAAGGTAACAAACTACTCATTGACACCTCTTTTTTGTCTATCTAGTATGTATTTATAGCCATCAATTCAGGGAGCCTGAAAACTTTTGTGAAGTAAAATTTAGCCCTGAATTTTCAGCTCTGGGACTCAATAGAGGAATACCACCAGCTTCTTCCATGCAACCATATGCACCAGCTCTTCAAAACCGCAGATGCTGATTCAGAGAACATCTTCTATTTCTCCTTTGTTTCCTTCAGGGTATGAATGAAAGTCCAACGACTTGGAACACTCCTCCATTGGAATACCCTCCCCCTGCTGCCCGGTACTTTCCTTGGTCTCCTCGTGGATCGAGTGTGGCAGGCAGTCCTGCTCCGAGTTACTCCAGACGTAGCCGGGCAGAGTCACATGGCTGTCGGGCTGGCGGCTGGCGGTCTTGGTCGCCTTGCTGGAGATGAGCACCACGCTGGTGCTATGGGTCACGGTGGTGAGCACTGAGCCGTACCTGTGGCCGCCGCACGGGGGTGCATTTTTCCAGTCAATGGAGAGATTCAACCGACTCCACAACTTCTTCATCTCAGACTGAACCTAAGTCGAAAGAACCAGAATGTGGATCAGAAACTGGCAGGGAGATCCTGCAGCCTAGTTAGACAATGTTTGCCCTGGTTTCAATGATAGTCCTAATTACTGAGGCTCAGTTTGGTTGCCGGGAACTAACTCTATATATACTCTCTCTACCCCTCAAAGGTGTTATTACTGGAGATGAGCAGACTGAGACTTGAAATAAAGGGGCTTGTCCAGGTTAGTATTTTAGTAGAAGTTGAAATGCAATCAATAGAAATATCTGATTGTGCAAGAGGAAAAAGAGGACTCCACTGGAAGGAGAAAGAGATATAGTGCCATTGTGGATGAGAAGTGGCTGGAAGACACTCAACTTGAAATGTAACCACCAGGCTATCCGTGTGCAGACACACTGAAGCAGTAAAGGCAGGAAAGGACTGTGGAGTGAGAAGCAAGCACTGCAAATGCATCCCTAATTGGGGGGGGGGGCGGGGGCGGGAGGGAACTCTTGTTTCCAGTCTACTGCTATTGCCACTTTCCCTAAGGGGGCTTCTTTGCAAGCTCAATGGGAAGCAGCAGAAACCTGTTAAGCTGATGCCACCCAAGGAACAGTAGAGTTATTTCTTTCCAGCCAACTCTTCAATGAACTGACATTGTCCCATTACCCTTTTATGGTTTAAAACATGTCCAAATGTTCAAGTGGAAGGGGGATATGGGGTTAGTGGAATGGGTGGAGGGGATCAGTTGAATGGTGGTAGGTGGCAATTAGAGCTTTGGTGGTGGACATGTGTGGTGTATACAGATGTTGAGGTGTGACGCTGTATACCTGAAATGGATACAGTATGGTAAATCAATGTTACCTCAATTTTTTTTAATGTATGCTGATAGATTTGTCCCAGGGAAACATATTTAAGCTCCTTTTAGAACTTGAAATTGAATATACATTTAAGCATTCAATGGAATACAAAGTCCACTGTATTAACAACCTCCATTATCAACCTGCACGCCAACCAGGCGTATTTTGATATCAGGGTTTGCACCAGGATTGACATTGAAAAGGGTGAGAGGAAGAAGACCTTTGCTTATTTACATTAATTAATCTTGCTTTGTCAAAATTACTTGTGATTAAAATACCTCCCTTCACCTTGCCCATTCTGCCATATAACTCCTGATGATTCTAAAGAGATTAAGATCACATCATGAGGGCCATTTACTAGCTTATTCAGAGCTAGACCTGCTGTAAGTCTGAGGTTCCTTCAAACCCACCTCTCCATTGCAGTAGCAGTAGATGATAGACACAAAGAAACCCTGGGGAACGACAACAAAAATTGTTAGTGGCTTGACAAAGCATGAAGATCACAACACTAAAGTCTCTTGTGTCAAGTCAAGATGTACAAGTTGAAAACTTATGTGAAAATATTCCAAATATCCTCTCTTGCTGTTTCTAAATCCATAAGTTTATATTAACAATTGTCTGAGATCTATCCTGATGTCAGTTTAACCAAACAAGTAATTCCAAAATATATAAAGAATGATTTCTATTATATTAGATTCATTTATGTTGTCACTCAAAGATCAAGGAATATCTCCTAGTTGGTAAGTGATATTTATACACAGTGAATGTTGGAAACTCTACACATAGAATATTATACAGTGAAAACACAAAGAAATTTTTTCTTCATTCAAAAATATTGCAAGCTGCTCAGCATGACAGGGATATAAGATGTAAACAATTCAGACAAGGTCCCTGTTCTCTTGGAGATTACAGTCTGGAAGAAAAGACAGATGGATAAATATAAACAATAGCCACAAGAAAAAAATGTCAGATAATAAGGTGTATGCTGGTAATATACGTGAAGTAAAAGAAAATAAAGGAGGAAATAGACTAGATGGGAAATTCAATGAAGACTCTGAAAAGGTGGTATTTAAGCCGATCTGAGTGACAAGAAGCCAGTCATCTAAGCAATAGCAGGGGAAGTGTTCCAAGCATGGGAATAGCAAGTACGAAGCCCTGGAGCAGCAGTGAGCAGCATGATGTGAGGCCAGAAGCAGGTGGGACCCCTGCCCTGTAGGGTTTTATACTGAGGGTGACAGGAAGCCTCTGGATACTTTTAGCAGAGAAGTGAAATGATTATATCTGTTTTTATGATTCTTCAGACTATGTATAGAGACTAGATTTAAGGTGACAGGAGATGACAGTAAATGAGTAAACAGTAAGGAGAATAAGGGGGTGTCCACACTAACCTATGTGAGGGATGATGGTTATTGCACTTTCAGACAAGAAAAGTGTAGAAGCAGTTCTTCCCTTTTTTTGTATACCTTTCCCTTTGTTTCATCTTCTTGCCTTCTCCTTTTTTTGCTTTCATTTATTTTTCTAAGTGTGCGGGTGCATGCACAGGCACACAGCCCTTCTCGGCAGGTGTTACATTACAACAATATGCACTCCTGTCCCCCACATAGGAAATTGTCTGTGAGAAATAGCTCCTCCTGTGGTCAAAGTTACCTGGCCTTGCTGGATGGAAAAGCACAGGCACCTGAGCAGACTGCTTCTTCGTGGCTATTGGAAGCCAGAGAGGACAGAGAAAGAGGTAGCAAAGAAGGAAAAAGGAAAAATACAAGAACCACAAAATTCTAGCTGCTGCTACCTACCTGAAAAGAATTGAAAAAGAGCTCACAGTGCATCCGGATTTCCCATCCAAGCCCAGAGAAGGAGTGGGGCAGGCACACAAACACAATATAATGCACCCCAAAGACCAGCACCAACACCAGTGTTGATTTGGCAAGTTTCCTGAAAGAGAAGAGCAAGCCTTTCACCAATCCACTTAGAGAGCATTTTGAGAGCTATTTTGCTGCAAATTGCATGAGTTTATCTTTTTTGATTGCTGAATAATATTCCATTGTGTATATGTACCACATCTTCCAGATCCAGTCATCTATTTTTGAGCATTTGGGTTGTTTCCATAGTTTAGCTATTGTAAACAGTGCTGCTATAAACATAGGGGTGCAGGAGCTGGAAGGGCTCATGCTCAGCAAAATAAGCCAGAAAGAAAAAGAAAAATACCAGATAGTCTCACTCATAGCAGGAATTTAGAAAATCTGAATAAGGGACCAGGAAAAAGACTAATTATAACAAAGAAAAAATCAAAATCAAAAAGCAACAATAATCTAGAAACACACTACGGGTGGCAGAGGAGGGATTAGGGTCAAAATAAGGGGGGTGGGAATTGTATGGGGACTATAACCAAAATGAAGATGCATACTTTGTGCAAAAATGAAAAATGATGTAAGAATTATATAAAATTAAATTAAATTAAATTAAAAAGATATTTTGCTGGGAAAAAATTAAACTTAGCAGAGCTAACAGGGGCTCTTACTGAACTCTTTGGATCCCACAGTTTCTCTAAATCAGTTTCTCTCTCTCTCTCTCTCTCCCTCTACTTCTCCCTCTTCCCCTCTTCTTTTTCTCCCCCTTCCTCCCTTCCATCCATCCTTCCTTCATACTTTCTTTCTATTTAACTGAGGTAATATTGGGGCACCCCATCAGGTATCACCACCTTAGTGCATCCACCACTGACTCGCCCACACTCCACCACCATGGACCACTGTGCTCCTCCCCCTTTGTCCCCGCCTCCCCACCTGCAAATTTCTTTTCTTTGCTTCCACTTCCTATCATTTTTATACTAAATCAGATAGCTTGTTCTCACTTCCCATGAATATTTTCCCCTAAATCTCTAGTCTCACTTCTACTCTCTTGCTTAAAGGACACATTTTTTCAAAAAATTGTGATATGCCCTTTTTTGCCCCTGACCTAAGTCTTCTTTAACATCTTTGTTTGAGGCTTAAAGAAGCATCAGTTAACAGCTGGCTGATCCCCTGATAATGATCCTGATAATCATCAACAATTTGCCCTTTTCTTCAGGAAAAACTGAATAATGGACATCCCTCAATCAGTACATTTGTAAGTTCTAACAAATTTATATTTGGAAGGTGCAATTTGATTAAAAAATGGAAACAGGGGCCTCCCCGGTGGCGCAGCAGTTGAGTGCTGGGTTGCAAAGCTGCCCGCAGCTTCTGCAGTGCTGGTTCGATTCCTGGCTGTTCCCCGGCCGCAGGGGGAGGGTCCCACATGGCGAGCAGACCTCTCCTGCTGCCCGCTGCTCCCCTCAGCAGTGTGCTTCAGTCCTTCTGCCTGCTCTGCTCCCCGCTCTGGCTCTGGTGAATTCTCTCACCCTCCCGCGCTTCTGACTGTGCCCAGTGCTTGTATAAATAAATAAATAAATGAATCTTTGGGGAAATAAAATAAAATAAAATGAAAATTAAAAATGGAAACAATACAGAAAACCCATTTTATTCATTTTTTTTCAATTATGACATATTTTAAGAATGTAGATAAAATTGTCTTCCACAATCATCAGCATGAGCCCTTATGGTAGATCACAAAGTTTATGGGAAAATCCCAATTTGCTGAGGACAAATTAAAAAAATGCTTATGCACATTCTGAAGGTTTTGACTACTATATATTTCAAATATGTGTGTATATATGTTTTTCCAATAAATCATGCAATTTAAACAACAATATACATTTATACATTTAATCTTAGAGACATTTCAGATAATTGATATCTAATATTTACTCTAAACAGTAATCACCAAAATAGTTTAGCATATGGCTAGCTGTTCTGAAATTACCTGTATTGCTTTCTTGTGTCATGTCCAACTGCATTGGTCTCCCAAATTTTGGTAGCCAAAACCCTAACTGTATTCAGAAACAGAATAAAATTCAGCTGAAAGAGAAGGTAATATTACAAAGAATTAGTTAATCATTAAGATGTTTACAAAAATTTACATAAATTAAATGTCTTTGTAATCAAATAATAAATGTTACACATTCCATAAATATTAATGAAAGAATCTGAGGTAAAATATTAGATAGTAATCCTTGATTTTGTCTCATGAGAACACAAAGATATAAAATATTTCAACAGTACTAAAAACTAAAAATATCAGAGGATGATCTGCCAGAATACACAGGGAATTCCCAAACAAAATTTAAATGAACTTCTATGGCGGACTGGAAAGATAAAAGGTAATCATTATTATATAAATGTAACCAAGTGCTTTTTTTGAAATTAATTCTCAGTTTCTGTCTCTATTTTAGGAAGAAAAATAATAGTGTTGGTGTATGACATGAAAAATATCAAATGAAGTATGTAAGAAATTTTTCAAAGGCAAGTAAGATTTTGTGTAAGAAAAAGCCCTTAGAATGTAAACTGGTGCAGTCACTTTAGAAAACAGTGTAAAGAGTCCTCAAAAAATTAAGAAAGAAAGACTATATAACCCATCTATTTCACTTCTGGATATATACCCAAAGAATATGAAAACACTAATTTAAAAAGATGTACGTACCCTAGGTCATTCAGTATTATTTACGATAGCCAAGATTTGGAAAGAATCTAAATACCCATAGACAGAATAGTAGATAAAGAAGGTTATGGTACATATATACAATGAAATACTATTCACCTAAAAAACAAAATGAAGGGCCTCCCCGCTGGCGCAATGGTTGAGCGCTGGGTTGTGAGGCTGCCCGCAGCCTCTGCAGCGCCGGTTCGATTCCCAGCTGGTTCGATTCCCAGCCGGTTCGATTGCTGGCCAACGGCTGAGGGTCCCACATGGTGCGCAGACCTCTCCTGCCGCCCGCTGCTCCCCTCAGCAGTGTACTTCGTCAGTCTGCCTGTTCTGCTCCCCGCTCTGGCTCTGGTAAATTCTCTCACCCTCCCGCGCTTCTGACTGTACCCAGTGCTTGTATAAATAAATAAATAAATCTTAAAAAAAAAAAAATTTGAAAAAAAAAAAAAAAAAAAAAACAAAATGAAATCTTGCCATTTGCAACAACATGGTTGGAATTCGTGGGGATTACACTAGGTTGAAATAAGTCAAATTGAGAAAGACAAAAACCATATGATTTCACACATATGTGAAATATAAAGAAACAAAACAAAATAACAAAGCCAAAAATACCAAACTCTTACATACAGAGAACAGATTGGTGGTTGCCAGAAAAGGGGGTTCACTGGATGGTAGGTGAAACAGGTAAAGGGGATTAGTTACATGGTGGTAGAAGAAAACTAAAATGTTGATGGCTATCATGATGTAGTATATATAGATATTATGCTATACACCTAAAACCCATATAATGCTATAAACCAACGTTATTTCAACAAAAATGTTAGGGAAAGGATGGGGGGAGGGGAGGGCAGGAGAGCGAGGGAGAAAGGCCCTTAGCATAGGCAATTATATTGAATTTGAAATATGATAGATGTGGGTACCACTGGAGACAAGTTCTGGCTTTAATGGGCATTGGGAGGGAAGATCAAGAAAAGGCATAAGCCTTTGTATGTCTGAGGGGCTCAAGAATCAGCAAAGTGACCCACAATAAAGAAAAAGAAAAGGTCTCCAGGTCTGGGATCATAGGAGTAAAAGCCTGAACCCCTTCATTCAGGGACCCAATCTGGGTTCCATTTGCAGTCAGGAAATGGTAGTGTTTAGGATCAATGCAAATAGGTATTGCTAAAGGTGAGCTTGTGTCAACGTCATAGCAACAACTTGAGAGAATCTATCAAGTGCTTCGAAATTCACCTTGTTACATAAAATAGATTCCTTTATTGTTCTCATTTTTTAACTCCTTGTGGAAAGTGCCAAATAAATGCCTTAGGCATTGCTTCATAATGAATCTACTCTCGGTTCTTCTCAGTAATTTCTCTGTTCTGCTCATGCCCTCCTTCCTCCTCCGTCTGACCTACAAGGTGATCAGAATGTTAAAGGGGAAATATAAAGAGTAAAAGGGGGCAGAGAACTTCTAGGAGCTTCCAACTGCTTAAACATATAAGTATTTGTAAACATTTAGAAGCCCCAGAGTTGTCCCCAGCGCTGGCTGATGAAGGGGAAGTTATGTGTTTTCTGCTTGGGACTCGGTGTCCGCCATGACTAAGGGTCTGATTCCCGTCCCAGACGCTCACATAATTCTTGCTGTAATGTAAGGCTTTCCTAAACCTTTGTAGAACAAAGTGACACACAAACCTTCTGTAGGTTGTAGCAGCAGTTTAATTATTATCCTTAAAAAAAAAAAAAACCCTATACAGGCTTTCAACTCACCCCTATAGCTGCCAAGATGGGGGCTTGATAAATCCATTTGATGTCTCCAGCACTAAGTTCCCAGCATCTTAGACAAGAAAAACAACTTTCATGAATAAATTGGCAAAAGAAACAGGCAGTGAGACAAAGCAGCATTTTAAGTTTTATGAAAAACTCCAGCCCCAAGCTTTTAAGAAACAAATACATCCCCCCAAAAAAATTTTCATAAAATGCCCAAACCAGTGGGAAAAAAAAAGTATAATTGGTCCTAGTATCCATAATATCAGCTAACATTTGAGGATAAGCCCAGAATTATGAATATTAGTGAATACATTTTATAGTAACGTGAAACAAAACAATTATTTCCAGAACCACACAAAAAAATTATACTCTTCTAAATGTGGTATGATGGATGCCTTATTTTTATTAACTCTGGAATGAATCATAATAATTAAAACTTGTTGATAAAGAAAAAGTCCTGTCACTGCATAAATTACAGCAATCTATTTTATAACTTCAGTTCTAGTATACTGACAATAATGCAAATCATTTCATTTTGCAAATCATTCCTTTTTGCAAATCATTCTTATCCACAGAAATGTGGTAAAAATTTGACAATAATGCAAATGTTTTTTGTTGATAGAAATGCAACAGAATACAGACAGCAAATGATTCTTATTCATAGAAATGAAAATTAGGTGTGTTTGGTGGAATGTTACTGTTAGTACCCCATAAATATTGACCAGTTTTTGCATGTATTTTTAAATTTCTTTTAATGTTCATTTTACTAAATATAAACATGGAATTCATTTATTTATTCTTTGAACCAGTTATAACATTTTACTAGTTTCTTCATCAATTAATGAGCTAAAAAATCTTTGACAGGCAATCATTTCGTATTTGCATAAGACTCATAAATCGTATCCTTAACTTTAAAAAAATAGTCTTCAGTACCACAATAAACACATTATATAATTTACCTGTTTGTTGTATATTTTCTACTTCCTTCCCATCCCTAAAGAATTTAAGTACTACATGGGCAGTAATATTGTTCTTTCTCAAAAAGATTCAGAGAAAATCAGATTTCTAATTTTAAAAGGCCAGATCAGAAAAAATTATATCTCCATTCTTCCTTGACTAAGGAGTTTATCTGTCTTTGAGATGCTCCAGGTCTGCCCCCTTCACCTGCCTTTGGACATGGCACTAAACATAAATCAGATTACACTCACATTATTTACATTAATTCAATTGTTTTAGAGCACAATTTAATGTCAGATGTAGTTTTCAAAATATATGAGTTATGGATTCTTTGCCTCAAAAACAATAAATGTATTTCTTAATTTTTCAGTGAAAGGACTTATGACTAGTAATGGTTTATGACTTCATTTATGATTATTAAGAAAGAAAGCATGATAATTAATTATCTAATTTGTATAAAATATATTGTAAATATGTTTGCTTTCTTTCTTCATTCAGGGCCTGGAATAGCTGTTGAATGGATGAATGAGTCAAAACCAAAATTTTCCTCCAGGCCAACAGAAAGATTTTGAAGAATGTAAACTTATCTCTCTGGATCTCATTTTCATTCCTCTCAAAAATGAAGGCACTGGACCAGAAAATACCTTAGGCCCCACCAAATCTAAATTATACAGTTACACATCTCAGGACATCATTCTTATAGCATTATATAGAATCACTTTACTGACACAACAACTTCTTCCCAAAGAAATCAAGTAGCAGACATAGCAAGTTTTCCAGCATCACATAGAAACACAGCAATAATGATAGCCATGTAGATAACACTGGCCCTCAACTGCTAACAAATTCTGAGCATAGAGATAAAGCCAAGTAAAAATGCAAAGCCAATAAGTTCTAGAACTGAGAGAAGGTAATAAATGATCAGAAGCCAGTAGTAGGAAAGCAGACCTAAAAATGATCTGTGGAATTCAGAATTTGGAGAACAGTGAAAGTTTCCTTATAGAGTGCAGGTGTTCCCCAAATCCCCAAAGTGCTTTTTTTTTTTTTTTTTAATTTCATAGCACTCAAAATGATGTCTGAAGAAAATAACTAGCAGGTCAAGCAAACGTGTAGGCGCAAGTTAAAGAAAGGCTCCCAGGAGCTAACAAAGGGGAACTGGTGTCATGAAATACACACAATCTGTGCATAATACAGTGTGTTCTCTTAACATAAAATAAAACCCCTGCAACTCCCTGAGACAGCAAGTTATGTGGCTTTGGCACAGACCATAAAAAGGGCTGGGGGTGGGAACAGGGTAATGTGGTCCTTACACCTGCTTGCATCATACCCTGAGTGTGTTAACTTACCCAACTCTTTCCTCTTGCTTCTTATGTTTGAAATTCATTTCATAAACCATGGAGTTCAAGCACCATATTCTGATGCATGAGATTTTCTGTTCTATGACCTGTGGGATGGCGACTATCTTGCCAGATAGAGCTTTTTTTAAGTGACATTACATCAAGGTAATTTCCCATATGACATCCCTAAAAGGCAGTGTCATTGAGAACAGCAGCAACGGTGAAAATACACAGGAAATCTGAACCATGAAAAAAAATCTTGGGCTCTCTCTCAACCTCTGCTTTCTCACCCACCTTGCGTCAGCCAGAGTTGCGCGTGCCACAGCCCAGCCTGCAACAAACACTGCTGGGAACCCTGCAATCAGAAAAGGATTCAGAGGCCATCTTTCTTTTAAGGTAAAGGGATTTTTTTCCCTATACTAACCACACACAAATATATACTAAAAAAGTTGAGAAAGAAAAACAGACATGAAGAATGTTGATATGTAAATATAAGAAAAGTCCGTTTAATTTTCATCGTGTCCATTGGAGAAATGTACCAGGTATACACACGTTATTTGTTGCCCAAAGTCTGAAGATGCAGGTTGGCCTGATTTCCATTTGAGGGATGGAAGCTCAGGCCATATTCGAGGGGACTGAAGCTTGTGGGGCCAGAAGCAGCAATGGCTGTTACATTCCACTGTGACTCTTGCACACCAACAGCCAACATGCTCTCAAAAAGGAGTGAAGCAACAAGAGGACTCATGCGGATGTACGGGGGAGCTATCGTTTTTAAAAAACAGAACATTTTTTTATTTTAAAGTGAAGGGAGAGTGAGGCTATACTGCAACTTATAAAATCTGGAAATTTTGATCAATTTTGGTTTGATATTTTTTGTTCATATTGACTTAAGACAGACATACTTGCATGCATTAACATGTTAGCAAAGGATAGCCACTGTGTTAGTTTGATGGTTTAAATGTGATATTTGTCCTTCTTAAATGTTAAACACCTGTGATCTTCCAATAGCCAATCTATTACACTAACATTCCGCTAGTCCTTGGTCCCCAATAAAGGCTAACTGTTCAGATCATGCGATAGTTAATAGGCTGTGAAATTACTCACACATAAAAATCACAGACCATAACTTTTATGAAACATTACAATTGAAGACAAAAGGACTTAACAGATAACTTTTCATTATGTGGATTTATGAAAGAGACTTAAGAAAAGGGAAGAGAAATCACAATGAAAGTGCTACAGAGGTTAGAAAATACCTAACAAAGGAGGAAAAAACATTTTAGAACTTTTTTATTAAATACAATATTAAATTCTGTACCTTTAAAATAATACATTTTTAATATATTCTTTCTTAGCAAAAAATGAATAAGATTCAGATGATTGAAACTTCAGGGAAAAAATTGAAAATAAAATGATATCCGGCAATAATTTCTTTGGTCTCCTTATTGATCATCTAACTGAATTTAACCTAATCCTGACAGTGTGACTATTTAATTATTATATTCTGATTTTATTTAATGTTTGTATATAACTTCTTTAAATTTGTTTGAATTCTACATTCCAGGAAATTCTTGTCAAAATAGATCAACCCAATTCTGGTTATTTCATAGCTTCAGTTTGCATATTGTATTCATTTATCTCTCTCTTTCTACCTATCCATCCACCCAAACATACATCAATTAAACATCAACTAAGTATCTATTTATCTATCAAGGGTTGTTCTACTCTCAGAAGATAAAAAAAAAAAAAAAAAAGGAACAGCTAAAAAATATCCATGTTTTCCTGAAATATATTCTGGTGAGGGAAGCAAAATTAATTGCAAAACTTCAGTTATCAATTAGCACTATGAAGAAAACACAAAATTACTAGAAATGGAGAGAATCCGGCTCCTTCTGGCAGGACAGTTCAGAGAGGTCTGGCATAGAGCCCTTTGCTCTTGTGCTGTCTCGGCCATCTTTAAAGAGTGTCTGTTTGCCTTTGATAAAAATGTTCACATTTTCTCATTTACAGATCTTTATCTTCTGCTTCCTTTATAATCTCCTGATCAGACAATTTCCTGAATGATGTTCTACACACATTGATTAATGGCACTTGAGTTGAAATTATGTTTTTGATGATAATTGTAACAAATACATCAGTCACCATGTCTTACTGAAATTGCTTTTCTCATTTTCTTGGAAAGATGACAAGACTAACATAGATTCAACTGTGGAAGAATGAAGAATAGAAATATTTTGGGGGGTTCTTTAAGGATTGTTGATCACCAATCATAGTATTATTACTATGATTGTATTTAATTGAGAACTCACAAGGACATGAGAAAAGTTTGCAATTTAGATGTTATTTTAAATTTAAATTTAAGTAAATTTGAATTTTACTTAATATATGCATTTACCTTGAGGGTTGAGCACTTTTCATAAAATATATCAGTACTGATAAGTGACTTAGAAAATTTCTGGTCTCAGCATAAGTAAGTTTGGGTTCTCTTTTGGCTCCATTACCACTCTCTCTTGAAATAAGAGTTTGAATTAGCTAACAGTGGCAAAAAAATTTTTTAACAATTAAACCCATTCTTGAATTAAAAACTAATGCAGTAGCCCATGCATTAAACAGAGATGTTCCAAAGAAAGGGGATAGGGTCTCCTTGTCTTAGTCTGTGTAGTTTTTATCTTGTTTTGGACATCCCAAAGTCTTCAGAGAACATTTACCCCTGCCTTACCCTCTTCTTGCCTTACCCTCCTCGTACTATAAAGTCATAGCTCAATTATAAAGTGACAACTGATACTAAAAAATAGAGACCATGATGACATGGATCCCCGGATTTGCTGCAGACATACAAAATCTTACTGACCAGAAATAGTATTTCCTTTGAAATGCAATCTCTGTGACTGTTCAGACATGAAGCTCCAGGCTATGCCTCCAGTTCCTAGTCTGTTGGTGTCAGGTTGCTAGAATTCAGTATCTATCAGCTGCCATTTCATTATTTAAGGAGGCTTAAAGAATGGAGGCTTTAAGCCTCCTTTACCTATATGATTTTCACAGAATCTTCTCAACTCTCTTAGGATCCTAAAGTCAATACTAAATGAGTACACCTCTCTTTCAGGAAAACTGCAGACCCTTTGAATGTCTTCTGTTGTTACAAAGGGGAGTGTCTATTTATGAAACTTTAGAATAGCTACCTTCTCCTGAGATAGAATTACTAGAGGATGCTAACAGAAAACTTTAAAAAAAATCTAATTGAATTATTCCAGAATTACACTAGAACAGAGTAAGGCACTATAAAACTGGATAAGTCTGAAGCAGAAGAGCTACAATGGAAAAGAAAATATCTTTACTGAATTAAATATTGTCAAATATAGAAGCTGTAGAAAATCAAATTGATGTAGAGGCGGTGGAATCTTGAAGCCAAGTGAGCCCATAGAGTTAAATATGTAAAATTATTTTAGAGGTAAATGTAAAGTTAACTATAACTTATTTTATTTTAAACAAGTAATAATCTATATAGTTTTAAATGATTAGAAGTAAAATCCCAAATTAAATTTTTAAAATCTGGAAAAGTCATAAGCAGAGAGAACCAAGTTCCTTATTTTTTATAAAATAGAGTCAATATACACAGGGGTTTTTTAATGACTCTAGTGGCTTAAATAAATTTTAATCTTAAGAGAATTAATAATGGTATTAAATCAAGGGAAGGGAGAAATAATTTTTCTAGATTTTTAAATTTTGCTTTAAGTCAATAATAAAGATTTCTCATTATATAAAGATTATTGACTATCATAATTCCAACAACAAATTTTATAAATTACATATTTTGAATATAAGACACATGATCAAAAAAAGCAAACAAAATAATCTCTAGGGGGAGACTTGTGTGGGAGGACTTTAACCCATACCTCTATATTTCAATTCTATTTACTGCTAAATGGATAACCAAAAATGTTTGCTGGACTGAGATCATTTTATGCAGAAATAACAAAGCTGGAAGTATTGTGTCTTCTCCTGGTTATTTTTTTAGAGAACACAGGATGTGAAAGTTTGGTAAAAGGGATATGGTCAGATAGTATAATCCAAATAGGTGTTTTTATATAATAATTTGTATATATGACATCTCATGTTGAAAATTAAGGATGGTTGCTAATACAGAGGTAAATTCAATAAGGATAAAGAAATACAACTGATATCTTTTAAGTGCATAATTAAATATGTAGAAAAAAATGTGTAGATGAAGGTACAGAATGGAACAAAATATAAAGTGAGAAGACAATTTATGAAAAAATTGAGGCAGGTATAGGAAACCTAATCAACTTTAATCAACTAGTTGATTAAAAAATAAGAACCATAGTCATCATAAGTATTTGTCTTTCTTCCTCTGTATATTCTGTTTTACAATCAAGATGTGTAAAAGGTCTTTTTTAAATATTTGCCTTCAATTTAGTAAAGGTCAGATGCAGTTTCTTATCCTCTTTATATTAAAATTCCTTTCCCTTCCAGTTTATTGTTAAGAATCAGCAACATCAATGTAAACAATATCACTACAAATAATTATCACTACAATGTGAACAATATAGTTCTTGGAATTTCCCCAGCTGCAGAGAGCTTCTTCAAGTTATAATGATTGGGTCTAATTGAATAACAAAGTATCCAAGTAACTTCTCTTTTCTAATGAAGACAGTGACATCATTGAAAGAATGAAATTAGATTCACCATGAATTATTCTAGCAAAGGATGCTGCTAAGTAGTTGTATGGTTTAGAAAAACTGCTGAGGAAATTTCCAAAACACCCTAAAAAATGTATCTTTTATTTTCAGTAAACTACTGGTCAACAATAAGGGAGTGACTTAAAGCAGAAAAGCTGTATTTAGAAATAAAACTTTATTCATGACAATTAGTATTTCATAATAAATGAAGTGTTATAGTAAATTGACTCTTAGTCTTCTTATAGGTTAACAACTAGCTGCAGGAAATTTAATATTTCTTTGCCTTTTCAAATAGTAAAACAATATTAAAGCAAAGCAAGCAAAGGACTATTCTTACTTTAGAGGGGGGAAAATCCTTCCAATTTAATCTTGAGTCACACAATTTCTTGCCTATGCTGAGCACCTTATAATTTGGATATTGAAAAAGCAATTGAGATCTGCAACTAATTGTGAGACTTCTTAATTTTAACTACATATGAATTCCAGTTACCTTTAAATTAACAACAAACAGCATTCTGTTTTTACGTCATGTCAAGTTAGTGTGTAGTTCAGTTACCCTCTTAGTACTGATAAGGCATTTTTGTATTGTGAGCTGAATATTCCCTTTTTTTAATTACTTATGTTCAAAATAATTTGGATTGCTTCCTTCCAAAATAAGTCTGCACAATGAGTGTAATTTGCATTGCTAAATGCAGTCAAGATGGTGCTATGAATTTCTTCCTGGCATTCTATCACACAACCTAGAAATACAAATCAAAGATACATCTTTATAGCTCAGAAATTAAAAAATCAAAATTTTTAGGGTGAAATAATTGCTAAATCTAGACATTGACATACGACATGAACTGAGCAGTTTTAAATGTTTAGAGCTACATTGTTAGCTTAAATTTCCACTAAAAAAAAACTCTCAAGAATCTGGCTTGGGAATACTAGCTGTGATTTTTGTCATAGAAAGTTTGTTGCTGCTGGGAGGATTATAGACTTGGCTCTTAATAGTTTTTCTCAGTGAACAATGAAAGAGAAAGAAGGGAGGATAATGATAAGATGGGAAAGGATTATTTCTGGAAAATGGCTGAAAGCGTGCTAATGATAGACATGACAGAAAGCCCTAAAATTCAAAATCCAGTTGAAAAGGAGACATAAGTGCCTTACCCCAGCCTATCAAGGTGAAGCCCCACAGGTATTTGGTGTCAGAAAAGAAAGCCACAAAGATTAGACTATGGAGGTAGAGTCCTTCCACCAAGATCCAATAGTAGTTTGTAGCCAAGAAGTAAATAAACATCACAACTGCAATCTTGCACCCAATCTGTTGCAAATCAACCAGAATTGCATATTAGAACTCTTGATTGTACTAGACGCCACCATTAGACCACCAAAAAGCAGTTTTCTACTTCTTTTTTTATTATCAATATAATAATATTGATATTATATTGCAAAGAGGAAGGCCAAGGTGATTGAAACAGACCAGAACAAAGTTAAAGTAAGATTTTTTTCCCTAAAAAAATCACTTTTCCTTAAATGTACTGTTTATGAAAATAATACATAATCACCAGAGAAAATTAAAAAAGTACAGAAAAACATAAAGAAGAAACATCCACCATTCTACCATGAATTTATTTGATTCTGGCCTTTCTTATGAGCTAAAATTCAATGGCCTCAAACAACAAATATTTAATGCATCTTATAAATTCATAGATTTTTTAAGTGAGTCTACTGATCTGGATCAGTCTCAGATAATCTTGGCTAGGGCTCACTCCTAGAGGTCTACTCTCAACCAGTACATTATTACTCCTACTTCATTCCATTGAGTAAAACAAGTCACAAAGCCAGTCTAGAATCAGAATTCAGCAGGGACGACAAAGTCACACAGAGCAAAGATACAGATAAGACATTAATTCACACCATCAAGACAATCTATTGCATCTATTTCCAGATATGTTGTTTCAATAATGCTAACATTTCTAATTAAGCATCTGGTAATTGTATTCACAAAATAACTCCAGGACATTTAAGAGCAGAGTCAAGTACCATGGAATATTATATTGGAACAAGTCTTTAAGTATACAATGAAAGAATTAAATACCATGGACTCATAAAGCCATGCTCCTGGTTTTGCAGGTGGCAAGCCATGACAGCTGCTATAGTCTATACATGAGATACCATGCTAATCATATGAAGTTTCCATTCCAAAATATTGTTCAGGAAAAAACCAAGCACTTTAACAACCTAAGATCCTGAGTGATTAAACATGACAATTGAAGACAGAAAATTGAGGTAGTAAACATTACTTTACAAATTCATTACCTATTTCAACTAGTTCAGTGAAATAAGTCAAAACAAGATAGTACATAATTAGGGAACTATAAAAATGTGCTTATTTGTAATCTCATACAAATCAGTGAAGAGAGAAAACGGTGAAAATACTCACATATTGTGATTTATCCACAGAAGGCACTTCTATGGTGTTCTGCAGCTCATCCTGTATGACCAGAGACTGCAGCTCCTTCACTCCAATGTGAGCATGGGTCACTCTGTCCTTGACAAAGATGCTTACAGCTCTCAGCATGAAAGACACAAATAAATGCATGTGGATATAATTCCTAGTGCAATGCAATCGCCTGTGGAATGAAAATATTTGCTATTTCAATTTGGAAAGAAATTAGAAATGAGGAAATACATAAATGAGCCCAAATTCCTCCCCCACAAAAAAAAAAGGAAATAAAGTACACTTAATTAAGCAAAGACAGAAACTCGCTATTATATATTTCCAACAGAAAACAACAGGGAGAATTAAATATTAAAAATGTAGGTGAAGTGACGGCAGTATCATGGTGACATTAAGATGCTTTCTTCAACTCTTCCTTTAAATCTACAACTAATAGATCAATTTTAAATCAACAAGGACTTGTTCATCCAGAGAAATCCAGGTATCCCACCAGCTCACACTCCACTCTACAATGCATGTGATCTTGCACTGATTTCTCCATTTAAACATCCTTCAAAGACTCTTTATTGTTCTTAGGCTAAAGTTCAAATTCCATATATAACCTTCTGAACCACTGACCTCCAGCCTCATACCCATCACTTATCTCACCAAAATTCTGAATCCTGAAACAGTCTCTCCTTTTTTTAGTCTAAACTTTGATTTGGAACGCTCTTTCTCCAGTCTCTCCTTTTGCTTAAATCTTATTTATAATCATACAGCATTTGAGATTTTTTAGTTCATTTAAGAGATTTCCCCTCATAGCTCTCCTGTGTATTTTGCCCCCCCACACCAAATCACTACACACAACCTGAATCCTAGCACTTTTCAAGTTGTATTTCAATTGTTTTCTCAGCTATTAGTATCACAAACCAGTTGCATCATGAGCATGAATATCCTATACATGTTGTACAGGAGTTTGTCCCCAATTATATTTTGTGTGGTGTTGATTGAGATTAAATTGAATTGAACTGGACAAAAGTTTAACCGGATTAAAAAAAAAAAACAACAAAAGCAATAAGTACTATTCCTTTATATATGATTTCAGATCATTTGAGAGTTACTTAAAATTTATTTCTGTCCAATGGCACCAAAATAATTTGAGAAAGGTGAAATAAGCCACTGCATCATAAAAATGTTTATAACTCATATAACTTGACTCACTATCACTTTGGAAACAAATGCATTGCTCTATTACCTCATGGCTTCATACTGCTTCAATGTTTTAAATAACAAAAGTAATCCTCAATTTCTGATGAAAAATAAATTGCTGAAGTCAGATGACATAACAAGAGGCTAAATTCAAAAACTTGTGTTTAGGAAAAGATAAACATTTGGGGCACAGATCTTGGGACTCAAGGTCTTCAATGGATAGGAAACAGAACATGTTCCTTAATGGAAATAGTCACCTGAAGTAACCAATGATGAGACTCAGCCACCTGAGGTGACCAATGATGAGACTCACCCACTGTGGTAAGCAGTGATACGACTTTACCCACATGAGGTAACCAATGATGAGACTTCACCCACCTGAAGTAACCAATGATGAGACTCACCAACCTGAGGTAACCAGTGATAAGACTCACTCACCTGAGGTAAGTGATGAGACTCACCCACCTGAAGTAACCAATGATGAGAATAGCCACAGCCAGGGAACCAAAAGAGATGGAGTACCCAATAGTGTACATGACATAGAGGCGTTCAAAGAATTGTTGCTGAAAGGAGAAGCAATTTAATCAGAAAAGCACATTTGAATAAATAAGTTGAGGCAGATAAACTTAGAAAATCATGCTTTTACCTGTTTAAAAATAGGCAATGTGTAATTACATTCATATGATATAGATTATTCATTCTGGCCTTCCTTTTATTTCCTAAATTAAGTCAGGGTTAAGATGGAATGAAAATATTTGGTTTTTCTGTTGTTTAAGTGAAGCCAAACTTAAATGTTGCAATATTTGCTTCATGTACTTTCATCTTAAATAACTGGAATTATATGTCTAACATGATATTTGGAGTAAAAAATAAAACATGTGCTACAGGACTATTTTAAGAGGAAACTTGTAAAAAGGATATGTTATTTCGGGAATATTGTTTCTAGTTCTCTTTAACTCTCTTACTGAACTGTAATTTACATAAAAGAAAATGTGCAGGTCTTAAAAGTTTAGTTTGATAAGATGTGACAAACTAGTTCATTGTGTCCCTTACTACTCAAAAAAACACCCACCATCCACCCCCAAGTAACTACTGTTCCGATTTCTGTCATCACAATAGCTTTTCTGTTCATCTATTTCACGCACTTCTGGATTGTTTTTAGACTTCTTAGCTTATATAGAATATATTCTTCTCCTCAACAGTTTTTTGATATTCACCAGTAGTGTTATGTGAAATGCAAAGATAGTGAGGTCCCCTGTACCCTTCATCCAGAATCCTCCAATGATTATTACAGCTTTCTTAATTTACTAAAATGTCAAAACCAGTAATTGGATATTGGTACAAGTTGTGTGTTTATAGTTCATGTCACCTTGGCCCATATGTAGATTTTTGCAGTCAAGATACAGAACTATTTCATGCCACAAAAATCCCCCTTGTGCTGCCCCTTTATAGTCACATCAACTTTCCTCATCCCACATCCCTAAAACATGGCAACCATTAATCTATTTCCCATTTCTATTATTTAATTATTTCATAAATATTTTATGAATGGAATAATACAGTATAGAACCTTTAACATTAGGTTTTTTTCATTTGGAGTAAACCATTCAAGATGTTACACCTAACAAGTTTGTTCTTTTTTATTGCTGAATAGTATTTCACCATATGGATGTAACTTCTGTATGTCATTCTATTTTAAGTGAGTTTCAAACTATGTAGATAATTTAATTAGGTAATTTTTTAAAGTAACTTTCTAATCTCTGCTACTACTTGGTATATGTAAACGATTGCTTTTAATATAATATTGATATGTTAAGGTGAAGCCCATCATATAATATTTTATTTTTTGTTATTCTATGTTGTCCGAGCCCGCGGACTGTTCAACGAGGTTCTCGAGGGGAGAGCAGCGACCTGAAGAACAGGGGTACACCACGGAGGGAGACACGTGCACTCTTCGTTCAGCTATCGCAGGTCTCGTTTACTTTCGGTTTTGGCGGGGCTTTATAGCTGGGGACCGGAAGCGGAAGAAGCAGGCCAAAGCCGTCATGCGCACTGGGCCAAAAGAAGCTAATCCCGGAAGGGCACATGCCCTTATTTGGTGCGCCGGAGGTCGTCATGCGCACTGGGCCGAAAGAAGCACAGCCAATCACAGAAAGGGGGAGTATCCTGATGCCACGAGGTAAGGCGCCAACACTATGTCTCATTTGTTTTGTCTCTTTTGCCATTTGGTGAGTTACTTGAACATTTTCAGGATTTCAATTTGATGTATCTTTTTGTATAGTGCTGGGATTATAGGGATTATATAGTTTAATGTGGAAACTTTCATTATTGAATTTTCACATTTTTTCATTTCTAATTAAGCACTGAAAGCTATAAATCTCTCCCCAAACTTGCTTTACCTATTTCTCAGAATTTTTGATATATTGGGCTTTCAGACTTATTTAGACTGAACTTCCATTATAGTTCATGTAATTTTTCTGTTTATAAAGTATTAAAACTTTTTATAGAAGATATTTGGATAATGTGTAATATACAAAAGAGAGGAGAAAAAAATTCTCAAGTTCCCACAAACCAAAAAAAAAACACTGCGTTCATTTTATGCATTTCTTTTCATTCAATGTCTGTACATCATTTCCTATTGTTTTGAGCATCTGAGCTTCTAATTGACATGTACATTTAAACCTGATTTATTATCAATTAACTCTCTTCAAAAATATATATGTATCTATGAGCTTATTTGAAAAATTCTTCCTTGAAAATGTAGGATTATTCACTATAATAACTAATGGTAAATGAACATTTTCCCCTTTCAGATCCCCCCTTCTGAATCCTTATGCTTGAATCATAGAAGTAAAATTCCAAGATCAAAGGCTATGACCCCTTTGAATTTTTTAATACATATTGCTAAATTGCTTAACAAAAGCACAAATAGCCTTTAGATATGAGATATATTGTAATTCCTACTACTGTTTAAATATCATACTCTAAAAATTTAATAACCTTGTGACCTGTCATAAGAGTTTTTTCTTTTCATTAAAATTGTCTCATTTTGTCAAGCCAATAATATAAAAAGTATTTAAAGAGTAAAATAATAGATGATTTAAAAAATCTTTCTTATTTTTTATAAAGATATGATATTTATTCCAAATATACACTATTGTTTTTATATTTGTGTTTCTTATATAAAATCTCATAACCATTAATAATTAATATCTCATAAATAAGTAATATCATTTTGCCCTACAGGAGATACCCAGTTTTCTTATTAGAGGATATTTACTTTTCACAAGTTTTCCCAAATTATTGCTTAAGGGCTAAAAATAACAGAAAATACTTTTTATATTTTTGATTAAAATGTATTTATGCTGACAAAATCTTCAAATTGTTCAGATAACTTGTAAATCATTTTCACATAAGATATCTTAGTTATCTTAGCACCCTTAGCTATTTTTATTTTTTGAAAACACAGTAATCACAAAGAATGGGTATGATGTTAGAGTTCAGTGTAAATGAAACTATGATTAAATTTAAGAGCTATTAAAAACTGTGAAAGACTTGCATCACTTAATGTGCAAATAAATTCAACAGAGATTACATTAAATTTGGTTAGTGTTTATTTCTGTCAATGGAATTGAAATTATTTTGAAGCGTTTTATATTAATTCATTATTAGCTTTAATTCTGTTGCACAATTCACAACAATCTCCTCACATTGGCTAATTTTATCTAAGATGCTTGTCACCAAAATATAAAGTTGAAAGGTTTTCAGCAACAACTAAAGAGCTCACTAAGTGCTTTGTGGCTGAAAAGAAGAAAATTTTTAAAAGGAAATAATGACTAGTAATGTAAAATCAAACAAAGAAATCAACAAACCACTTCTCCCCCCAATGTTCTCCCTCACCCTGTCAAAAAAATCGTAAGCATAAAGAAAACTGTCTAATGTTTACATGAGTTTATATATGATTAATTGTTATCAGGGTCCTCATAAGAATCATGTATGTATCCATTTATCCTGTTTATTCCTAGCATCATATGCTTAGATTATCATGCCATTCCCTCACCAGATCTGAGTAATAATGTAAGTTTAAGCATGACTATTAAACCACCATGTATTAATGAAAAGTGACTTTCTAGAAGTTTTCAAAGTTTACATATGATTACTGGAAACAGCTCTGATAAGGAATTTGGAGGTCAGAGCTCTGCTTTCAACCCTGCCATCAGCAAGCTTTATCACTTTAATCTCAGATTCTGAGCTAACTCACATGTATAAGATTAGGTAATACTCTGAAAGACCTACACAATGTCCTTTACTCTTCTTTAATTCTACAATGTTAATTTTTCATATACTGATGAATTCACTGGCAAATCCTATGGGATGGAAAATACAACTCTAAAACATAAAGCTCCTCTAGGGATAGAGTAAGATGTAGACATCCACAGGTAACCAAGGAGAAACCACGAGTCATGTTGCTGATACCTCTTTAGATGTCTCTACATAATATAGCATAACATATCATAATATACACACATTTATAAGTTTATGAGCATATATCTCAGCCAGTTCACGAGGACTTAAAGAAAATACCAGAATTTTTCAGGTCCTATATGTTTCCTTAACCAAAAATCAGAAAATATTCCAAACTTGTTTTTATATTTTATGATATTTGTGTCATAATATACAAGAGTTTTTTATATATAATGGTTGACAATTGTGAATTTCATAAAAACATTATGCTATTTTTCCCAAAGGTCTCACAAATACAAAATACCTTTCCTATGTTGATATCTGGCTGCAGAAAGCGAAGGCAGTCTGAATAATTAGCCCATGTTTTATTTAAACTGTGCATAAAATCCCACGTTCCATTGGGATTACAGTGTCGAAAAGCAACTCCTGTAACAACATGAAGAAAACACTGAGATTGCTCAGTTTTCGTAGAGTCCATTACAAAATAAACAGTAAATGTTTGACCCAAATTAATCATTTCAGAAAAATTCAATACCTTTATGATTGAAGTCATAGATATAAGGAGGGCATGGGACAGCTGATATTTTCCCAACTGTTCCTCTGGGCCAACAAATGAGTCCATCCCATTCTGGGAAACAATTTCCCTCTGAGAAGAACAAATTTTAAATGCAAATAAACAAAAATACAAGTGGAGCCAGAGAGTCAATGTATTAAAAAATACAAATTTTCAGGTCACTACCCATGGTAATATAAAACAAATTTTAGATATCAGAAGTTAATTTTAAAATTACTTTTAGAAATAAGAGTTGGATGGATAAGATACAAATGTCCCAAAATTCACTCACTTAATCTCATCAAACACTCAGCAATAGGAATATTTGATTTGCATAAATTAAAAATAATTTAGTGATTCCAATATATTTGAATTAGAGCAATTATTATATAAGAAACATTGGAATTCACTGTGAACAGCTTGTCTAGTAAAATTTTTCCAACTATCACAATTTTTTTTCATTTCTTACTCTAGAATTTTTTTAATTGCTGCAAAAAAAACATGGCACATGACATAGGATTTCATAGGTAAGTTCCGAGGTTTGGATTTACCTTTTTATTTTTTTTAATTAATTTTTTTTAAGATTTATTTACTTTTATATAAGAACCGGGGTGCAGGCCAGATGCATGGGAGGATGAGAGGATTCACCGAAGACAGAGCCAGGAACAGAACAGGCAGACAGACTGCTGAGGGGAACAGCGGGCAAGACAGGAGAGATCTGCTCACTATGTGGATTGCTCCAAGGCCAGCAGGGATTGAACCCGAGCTGCGGACACCTGTCTGCGCTGTGGAGGCTGCGGACACCTCCACAGTGCGGTGCTCAACCGCCTGCACCACCAGGGAGGCCCCTGGGTTTGCTTTTTTACCAACAGTTTTAATAATTTCTTTGAGTCCAACATTCATCTCAAACAAAATTCTCATAAATTCTATTGTCCTTAAGATGTATCCAGAACTCTCACTTCTCACAACCACGATGGTCCAAGTCACTCATCTCCAGCCTAAATTACTGCAGTTGTCTCCAGCTGAACTTCCTGATTCCAGTCTTGCTCCCCCTTCAGTAATTCCTCTCACAATGGGCCAGAATCTTGCCAAAACTTGCCATCTGCCTCTGAGCAAAAGCCAAGTCTTTACAAAGACGGAAGGCCCTACAAAATCTTCCCTCTCCCTGACCTCAGCTCCTGCTAAGGTCTTCCTTATTCTTCCTTGAATTCAATGCCATTCCCCCGGATAGTTCAAGGCTTAGTTACTGGTCTCCTATAGACTTTTACTCAAATATCAACTTTTGAGTTAAACTTTCTCTAATTAAAATTATACCCCCACAATTCTCTCTAATCCTATTCCCTTTCCTGCTATATTTTTAACCTAAGCTCTCGTCACCTTTCAGTGCAGTGCTATTCTATCATTATTTTCTTAAGCCACAGGGCTTAAGGACACTAAGGATGGGGAATTATGTCTGTTTATTTTCATTCCTTATCCATGTCCATGGACGAGAACCCAACACTTGACAGTGATTTAACAAAAATTCAGTCAACATCTGTGCTCTTCAAGACTTCTTTCCCTTAACTACTTCCTGAACTTTCAAGAAAAGAGACTATCAGCCATGTCATACTCCAACTTCCCAAAAGGAAACTTTTTCTTTAATTTAGTCTATGTATTGGTATTGGAACAAGAACAGACATACAGACCAATGGAATCGAATAGAAAATCCAGAAATAAACCCACAGATTTATGGTCAACTAATCTTTGACAAAGGAGCAAAGACTATGCATTGGAGCAAAGAAAGTTTGTTCAATAAATGGTGCTGGGAAAACTGGGTCGCTACATGCAAAAGAATGAAGCTTGACCACTACCTCACACCATACACAAAAATCAACTCAAAATGGATTAAAGAACTAGACATAAGACCTGAAACCATAACATACATAGAAGGAAATATAGGCGAAACACTACGGGATTTGCACATCAAAGACATCTTTACAGACACATCACCCAAAGCAGTGATAGTGAAGACAAAGATAAACAGCTGGGACTACATCAAATTAAAGAGCTTCTGCACAGCAAAAGAGACAATAACAAAAACAAAGAGAAACCCCACCAACTGGGAGAACATTTTTGCACCCAACACTAATGATAAAGGACTGATCACAAAAATCTGCAAAGAGCTGATGAGACTCAGCAACAACAAGGAAAATAATCCAGTCAAAAAATGGGCAGAAGAGCTAAAAAGAAACTTCTCTGAAGAGGAAATGCAAATGGCCAACAGACATATGAAAAAATGTTCAACATCACTTGTAATCAGGGAAATGCAAATCAAAACTACCATGAGATACCATCTCACACCAGTGAGAATGGCACATATTAAAAAAACTAGCAACAACAAATGTTGGCGAGGATGAGGAGAAAAAGGAACTCTTCTGCACTGTTGGTGGGAGTGCAAACTGGTCCAACCACTATGGAGAGCTGTGTGGAGATTTCTGGACCTACTAAACATAGAGCTTCCATATGATCCAGCAATTCCACTCCTAGGTATTTACCCAAAGGACACAGAAACATCCATTCCAAAGAGCACCTGCACCCCTATGTTTATAGCAGCACTGTTTACAATAGCTAAGCTTTGGAAACAACCCAAATGCCCAAAAATAGATGACTGGATCAAGAAGATGTGGTACATATATACCATGGAATATTACTCAGCATTCAAAAAAGATAAACACATGCAATTTGCAGCAACATGGATGGCGCTGGAAGGGATCATGCTCAGCGAAATAAGCCAAAAAGAAAAAGAAAAATACCGGATGGTCTCACTCATAGCAGGAATCTAGAAAACTTAAATAAGGGACCAGGAAAATGAATATAAGAAAGTGAAAATCAAAATCAACAAAAAACTATGAACCAGAGACACTTTTTGGGGGGTGGGGGGCGGGAGGGGAAGGATTGGGGTCAGAATGGGGCGTTTGCAATTGTATGGGGGAATATAAAAATAAAATTTAATATTAAAAAAATAAATAAAAATAAAAAAAAAATTATAAAAACAGAAAAAAAAAAAGAAAAACAGGCAGCACATGGATTTGGCCCTCAGGTCATTTATTTAATGTAGGTCACTTATCTCACAGATTTGCTAAACCTAATTATAAGCCAGTAAGCTTTGGATGGCTTGTTATGCAGCACAAGCTAACTAACACCTTGATCAACAGAAATTCATTAATATTAAGGAAGATCAACTCTGTAATTAGAATTTCATCATAAGTGAAATCAGCAATATATTATTCCAATTAAAATCTTCCACAAAAATACCAAGTGTTCATTACTGAATAGAATAGGAAATGCTTGAATTTCTACAATTCAAATTTATTTCTGATGCAAGTGATTGCTTGGAATTTTGGATATATTACTGAAATTACATAATATACAAATTATGCTATACATAAATATAATGTTATCTTTCATAACTTAATAAATATAACTGAAATTTTATTCCTCTACCTCTCACTTGGTCCTCTGTCTCCTAGACAGGTATGCACACATATGCACACACACACAGCTAAAATAAAATTACTACTGAAGTAGGCTTTAAAAAGCACAGCTGCTATGCAAAATTATAAATCCATTGATCAAAGGAATGTTAAGGGAATTTAAAATAAGGCACACAAAAGTTACAGATATTTTATTCTGTATGTTATATGTATTATTTAATACAAAGTGTCAATAGGATCCTTCATGTGATATGTCAGTTGGAAAAAAAAAAAATTTAGTCTATGTATAACATTATTAGTTTCAGGTGTAAAACATTATAATTCAATTTATATATATTACAAAATGATCACTGCAAGTCTAGTTAACATGCATCACCGTGAAGTTACAAATTTTTTTCTTGTGATGTAAACTGTTATGATCTACTCTCTTGGCAACTTTCAAGCATTTACAATACAAAATTACTAACTCTAGTAGCCATGCTAAGCACTATAGCTCCATGATTTATTTATTTGGAAGCTGAGAATTGGTACTTTTCAACACCCATCTTCCATTTCACCCACTCACCAGCCTCCCACCTCTGGCAACCACCAATCTGTCCGTTGTATCCATGAGCTCAAGGTTTTTGTTTATTTAAATTCCATATGTAAAGGACATTATATGGTATTTGTTATTGTCTGACTTAGCACAATGCCCTGAAGGTCTGTCCATATTGTCAGAAAAGGCATGATTTCCTTTTTTATGACTGAATAATATTCCACTAATAATATTCCATATATGTGAAGAAAATATATATGTACATATACATGTACACATATATTCTCTTTATACATCCATCAATAGATTCTTAGGTTGCTTCCATGTCTTGGCTATTATAAATGACTGCAATGAATATGGGGGTACATATATCTTTTCAAGTTAGTGTTTTTATTTTCTTCAGATACTCATACATGGAGTTGATGGAGCAAATGGCAGTTATACTTTTAGTTTTGAGAAACCCCCCATACTGTTTTCCATGTGACAGCACCAATTTACATTCCCACAAGCAGTACACAAGTGTTCCTTCATCTTCACATCCTCACCCACTTGTTATTTTTTTTTGTCTTTTTAAAAAGACGTTACTTTTTTCTCCAGTCCCCCAGTTTTGTTTTGTTTTGTTTTTGAGGTAGTATTGGTTCATAACACTGCATGATTCATGATTCAGATATAGTTTCACGCCTCTTTGGATCTAAGTAACCACACCCCACCCACAATCAAGGCACCCATAGTCTGAGACCATTAACCACTGGGCATCCTACTCTTTGCTCTCTACTTGCCTCCTCTCCTATCTGGTAGCCTCCAGTGCTACAATCAAATTTCTAGAATTTTTCATTTGGTTTGTTTGATCATTTGTTTATCTAAATCCCACATATGAGTGAAACCATCAGCAATTATTTTTCTTCTTCTGACATCACTTATCTTAATCCCTTTCAATACCATTCATGTTGCTGCATATGGCAAAAGTTCATTTTTTATAGCTGCATAGCATTCCACTGTGTATCTGTACCACATCTTCTTAACCCACTCCTCTATGATTAGGCACTAAGGTTGTTTCCAAAACTTAGCTATTGTAACTACAACTGCAATGAATATAGGAGTGCTTATATCCCAGGTTTCTTTCTGGGCTCTGTGCAAGAATCCATTTTCTTACTCATTCTAGCTGTTCACAGAATTCAGTTCCTTGCAGTTGTAAGACCAAGATCCTCATTTCCTTGCTGGCTGGCAGTTGGGGGTTATTCCCAACTTCTAGAAACCACTTGCATTCCTTAGCAGGTGGTTCCCTTTGTCCATTTTCTTTTTTTTTTTTTTAAAGATTTATTTATTTATTTATACAAGCACTGGGTACAGTCAGAAGCATGGGAGGGTGAGAGAATTCACCAGAGCCAGAGCGGGGAGCAGAACAGGCAGAAGGACCGAAGTACACTGCTGAGGGGAGCAGCGGGCGGCAGGAGAGGTCTGCGTGCCCTGTGGGACCCTCCTCTGGTGGCCAGGGAGCAGCTGGGGATCAAACTGGTGCCACGGAGGCTGCGGGCAGCTTCACAACCCAGCGCTCAACCACTGCGCCACCGGGGAGGCCCTCCCTTTGTCCATTTTCAAGATCAACAAGACAGATCAAGTCCTTCTCAAATTTCAAGTCTCTCCTTTTCTCTAAGTGACTCTTCTGCCTTTCTCTCCTATTTTTAAGTGCCCATTTGATTGTCCAGGATAATATCCTTATGTCAAGGCTCATAGCTTGAATGCGCATAGCATCAGCATTGTTCCTTTGCAATGTAATATATCAAACACAGCATAACTCCAGATATTAGGTTGTGGACATCTTTGTGGAGTCAATTACTCTGTTACCACAGTACTATCCAATAGAACTCACTCACATTTCTAGTTACCAATTACAGTAACTGTACTGAAGGTTTTGTTCTAACTAATGTTCATGACATCAAGTTGTTTGTTCCGTTTTAAACAGAATCAGCAAACAGGACCTCATACAAACACTAAATTCTACAGAAAAGAATTCAGCATAAACCTGAAATTGGCTTCCAAGTACCCACCTTATCACATGGAAACAAATAATTGATACGCTTCAAGGGTTACGCATGCAATAAGAAAAGAAAATGTCTTCCCTCACCCACACTGTTTTATAAAAGAGAACATTTTCTTGGAAATGCATTCACTTTATTCATATAATGAAAGCCTGAATTTACATACCACAAGCTACCCAGGAACTCATCCCACTGGCTTCAGCTGCTGGTACACAATTTCACCCGCTTCTTTCCACCATTCCCTACCTTTTGTTTGTTTTCTTTTTAATTTAAACTGAATAAGATTAATCAATCTCTCCCATCAACTTGGCCCTCCGCATCCTTCTTTATCTTGATATTGTTCCATAGGAATTCCTATGTAGTCACTATCTTGAACTAGCAAGGCATCCTTTTCATCTGGATGACCTAATCCTTTACCAGATATCTACTGCACAATCTATGTAATTTGAACCTGGCCACACATTTTTGTTTTCCTGTGACTAGCTGTTACTCTAATATAAAAGCTGTCATGTCATCTGGAATTTTTCCTACGAGTCACATGACAGAACGTGGTCTTCATACCAGTTTTTATATGATCAGCTTGTTCTATAATTACATAGTTTAAAAACTGCTTTGGAGAAAAATCTGCTGATTTTTTTCCTCATGCTATAAAAAGAACAAGTTTTTTTAATAACTTAAAAGATACCACCTCACATACATGAATACACACAGATACACCCCCAAATTTTCAGAAAACCAATACTCCCTCCAAAAATGTTTCTACAGATCATATTTATCTCTCTGGTAACTCTTTGTTAAAGACAACAATAAATAGCCACAAAAGGTTGAAAATGTTAGGGAAGCCATGACCGCACACAGATTGTAATTAACATCCTATCTTTGATCATCATTTCACATTCTGTGTGAGTAAATACTTTCATTATTTTGCAAAAAATTAATTGCTAATGACTCATCTATCTCCCTTCATAAATTAACACCATGCATTACATTCCTTGTAATCTTTTGTGTGTAACAGGACAAACTAATTATTAGCAAGCTTGTCAAAGCATGGATACAACAATATAAAATTTGGAGAAAATAACTTTGTCTCTTTTAGGTTCTACAGTGACTCCTAATACAGTGTAACCTGACGTTTGTGAAGTAAAATCAGCATAGATTAAGGCAAACCAGCATGCATGTGAAGTCTCTACAAGCAAAACAGATCCCAGCCTCCCCAGTTGCACAAAGGAGTGAGACTCAGCACTATCAAGCTATAGGCAGCCACTGTGGCATGAGTTCGATCCCCAGCCAGGGAGCTAGCCCACATGACACAGCAGACTTCTTTTGTTTCACCTGCTGCTCCCTCAGCAGTGTATTTCAGTCAATCCACCTGTTCTGCTCCCCACTCTGCCACTGATGAATCCTCTCACCCCCCACACCTCTTGCCTTCACCCCAGTTCTTGTATGCATAAATAAATAAAAATAAATCTTTTTTTAAAAAGTAAGACGGATCCCAAAGAGAGGCCTGAAGAAGAGGCTGATGGACACACGCCAAACACACAAATCAGGCAAGTCACTCCTACAGGAAATGAAAAGTCAGCAGGTTAAGGAAATAAAAAGAGCGATTTGCTATGTGCCCATTCATATGGAAACATGGTATGACTGATGAGCAAATCCTTAGCACTTAATGAGAAGGGATATGCGCAGTCTTTGTGAAGGCTGGGGTGGGAGCACCAAGGAGACACAATATTTGTAGTATCTCTACCTCCTTCCTGGAGCTGAGCTGTGATGTTGAGTTCACACTGCACTTTAGCTTTCAGCACAAGGACGATCTGCTCCTCTATAGTAATGATGCCATCAGAATCCATCTGCAGAAATGAACAAAATAGAAAGAGAGGAAAACATTCCCATTGTCTTTATTTAAATTTCATCATTCTACCTACTAATGTCATTGAAAATTAGTTTTGATATCGAGTTATCCAAAATAGTCCTTTATCTGAAAACATTTCAAAATCCACCAATGTATAAGATTTTAGAATAATCATAACTTTTCTATAGTCTAAAGGAAAAAACCCATACCATAAAGTTTTAATATGTTAGGTAATTATATTAACTATAACATAATTAGAAAAAATAATTAAAAAATGAAATTCTCCTGAAATGATAGGAAGATGCAATATTTGATTATGTTATAATACATCAGTTATACACATAAAAAGATAATATATTGAAAGACTAAATTGAACTCTACTGGAAAATTACCAGTGAAACCTTGGACAAATCACTGGACACCTTTGAGTTTTTATTTACTCATTTATGAAACGAAAGCATTACCTCAAATGGTCTCTATTTATCTTTTTGCCCTTTTTTTACATATTTATTGAGATATTGACATATAAATGTGTGCACATTTGTAAGTTTAAAGTGTACAAGTTGATGCTTGCATCTATCATCTATGATATGCATATGTATTATGAAATGACTACCCTAATAAGGTTTCTTAACATTTCTATACCCTCACCTATCATTCTTTGACACAGTGATGGTTTTTATCCAACTAGTAATGCAAAAAAAATTTCATTATTGGAAAACTTTAATTTCAATGAGATATATTTTAGATATGATTAAATATTCATAAGTGTTTGTTCAAAGTATAGTGTTTTGACCATCTAGATGATACCTATGTAAAATGTAGATTCTTAGGCTGTGCACTAGACCTAGCTAATTAGAATGCAGATTCAGCTAATTAAGAGAAAAGTGGTAATCTTCATGTATCACAGGAGCCTCTGTGATCTTACATTTACTTTAATGGGTTTGAGAACCAACATATTTAAAGGTACAAGATAATGTAAAAATCATTCCATTAGTCCAGGGTCGATCAAAAAAGCAGAACTACTAAGAGATTAAGAGACATTTTAGAGAAGAGACAGAGATGATAGAAGTAAAAGAAAGTATTTGTTAGAGAGATTTGACCTTAAACAATTGTGGTAACACTGTCCCTGGAAGATTTTTTTTCTTCTCTTTCTTTCTATCTTTTTTTGGGGGGAGGAGGGACTGGTGATATAACTGGAAATACACAGGTCAGATAGCGAAAAAAAGAATATGAGTATAAAGTCAGGAAGAGTAAAAACAAGCTAGAATAATGTGCAAGAGTAGAAACCATAAGAACACACTGGAATCCATGCTAATTCTCAGTACCTCTAATCTTGATAATGTGAATATCCAGCAGAAAGAAGATACCCTTCATCATGGACCTAACTACATTTGACCCAGGAATTAGAGAAATTTCAAAAAGACCCAGGGGTAGTTTACTGGCCTGTGCTGGTCTCCACAGTGAGAGGAGATAGGAGATAGATCTGCAATAACATGTATGAAATACAAAGATACCTACCCTGATCTTCTGAGGGTAAAAAAAAAAATGGCTGCTACCTCACATAAGCCCTTCAATGCTCACGAAAAAATTGTCTCTTGTGGCCCACACTATCTAGAAACATAAAGGGAAGGGAGTCTGGGAAATAAGGTTTAACATAGTGAAGTTGACACATTACAAAGTTACCGAAAATCCACTTCCTTTAACATGGAACCTAAATACATCTCTTTAACTACTCTAAATTTCAAAAAATAAATCAACAACAAAACCATCCATTCAATATGACACAATGCATTTAGAAGAGTCATCCCAGAAAAACAGAATTTTAAGGAAGAAAAAAATTGTATTTGTCATCTCCAGTTATATAAGCCAAACTCTGTGGCTTAAAACAATAGACATTACTAGTCTCATAGCTTGAGATGGACATAGCTGAGTGGTTCTGGCTCAGTGTTTCCAATGATGTTATAATCAAGACTTCAGTCTTACTGCGGTCACTGAAAGATTTTACTGGAACTAGAGGATCCACTTCCATAATGGCCCATACACATGCCTGGAATCCAGTACCTAGACTGGTCTCAGTACCTTGGTGGATGATGGGAGGAAGCCTCAGTTCCTCACCACATGGTTCTCTGTATATGGGTGTTTGATGTCTTTACAACATGGTAACTGGCCTTCACTGAGTGAGCAAGAGAGGAAGCAAGGAAGAAGCCCTGATGCCTTTTATGATCTAGTCTCAGATGTTATTCATGATCATGCTAAAAGCAAGTCACCAACTTTCACTGCAGGGAATAGAAATTAATCTCTACCTCTAAAAGAAGGTATCAAAATATTGTAAATATATTTTTAAAGAACCACAGTTTTTTGCCTGTGGTCATCTATTTACTAGAAAGAAAATACTTGGCGTTGTGTTTTCAGTACATTTATTAACAATTTTAGTGCTTAGGACTTTGTTTTTCTATTTTCTGTTTGGAATTCAAAGATTCTTAAATCAAATGAAAAGATAAAACCTATCAGTTTACCTAAGTGACAGACCCCCAACAATACAATAGTTTGCAAATCCCAAATCTTTCATTTCAGACTGCAAGTACCTTATTCCCTAGAATCATGCTTTTAAGGTGAGTCTTTTTACTGTGTGCATATGACATTATGGACCAAACATTATAAATAGAAAGATGTTTATGATTTTGATGATAGGAAGTGTACTTAGAGATTATTGTAATATGATTGATTATAGATGATGCCTAATATAATAGACTGGCATATTAAACCAAAGTAGAAAATGCAGAAAGAATAGCTATCATGAGTTTTAATATCAAATAATTGCTATTCCTGAAAAATTATTAATCATTTCCTCAATACATTTATATGTAACATACTTATATATAGTTTGGATATTTCTGGATAATGTACGGAACTTAATGTCCACACTTACTTTAATGATTCTTATAAAATGCAAGAATAATCAAAAACTAATTTGGGAGAGTTGAAATATACACCATAATTTAGCTATTAAGCAAACACAAATCAGATTCTGAGTACTACCTAATTACAGTAAAATTGAGCTATAAAAATCTCACATATAAAGTGGGAGCAGATGAGTCATCCAAGTGGGCAAGGCAGGAGGATTTTACTTCTTCCCATTTCTTCTCTAGAAATGGTCAGGCACCTTTCAAGTTTCCTCACCCCTGGCTTGTTTTTTCAATTGAATAGTTACTTATTTTTTACTTCAGTCCTGGAAAACAGTGGGTACCTGTGACCAAGCTTCAGAACTATAAATTTGATTCAGAAAAATTTCACTTAAAATTGTTAAACATGAATACTTCATTCTTGTTTCCTTTTGTGAAGATGTAAGCTTTTTACTGGGATAAACTTTTGGGAAACAGTTATATAAACAACAGCATCTAAAGATATTTTGTTCTAGAATATATGAACAGTTTAAATTTCTGACATTCCGGGGATCCAGTTGATCCCAGTGGTGTGAATTGTAACCCCCTCATTGGTATGTTGAATCTTTAATCCCCAATGTGATTACATCTGGAGGAAAAAAGTCCCTAAGGAGGTTAATTAAGGTTGAATGAGGTCATCAGGGTGGACCCTCATTGAACTGATGTCTTCTTATCATAAGAGGAAGTGATATCAGGAGTGTTTGTGCTCAGCGGAAGTGGCATTTTTCCTCAGAGGCCCTGTTTTCACAGAGAAGATAGCTGTCAGCAAACCACAGAGAGAGCCTCAGAAGAAATGTGCTAATTCATGATCTATTAAATTGATCTGAAGTCATTTCTGTGACAGTAAGAAAGTATTTAACGACTTCTAACATGCTTTCTCTTTCCTCCTTTGCTATCGATACAATTGTTCTACCATACAAGACCATTAAAAGCATCATGTAATTAAAACAGAAGAGAGGTTCTCCTACTCAGAGTCTATCACCCCAAAGGCAATAACTGCATCCAAAATAACCGGTACATTTAGAAAAATAGATGTTAGTAATTTTTCCTGGGCAAACGATCATTTACCATTTCAGATAAAATGTTTTATTTCTATCTGTCATTTATCTTATGACTAAGAGAAGCCCTAATTTGACAATGTCTATTTTATTGAAAATATCTAAAAATTCCTATCAATAAAATTGTTAGTGCCATAATATGGCAAATCTTCATAATTATAATATTCACATTTATTCCACTTTCAAGTGAAAAATAATCCATATATTAGATGTATGTTTAAAAACATGCATTCCATTCTGATGGAGTAGATGTACTTTCTTCTAGTCCTCCCAGTAAGTAATATAAAAAACTCATAACATTATACATAAAATGAATATATGATGATCCTGCAAGGTAGAGAGCAGAAAGCAGACCAGTTAGAGATGTCAGCTCCCAGAGAATACAGTGGTATATTCTGTGGGTTCGTTTCTTTCTTTGTTTACCTTTTCATATTCTCAACTTAGAATGAGCCAGCAGATGTGAAATGAGTTTCCAAACTACCCAATATTAAGCATCTGAGAAGTCTGCTGTGAGGAGAGGAAAGCTGAGAATTTGATTTGAATAGGGTCTTGCCGTTATGGGAGAAGATGTGATTTCAAATATTACTGAGATAACGAAGGAGGTTGATGTGGCTTCCATTCTATAAGAGTGGTTCCCTACATGATTGATACTGTGAGATTCATTTTATCTTTTTTTTTAAGTTATACAGGAAGAAGCTGAAGCCCAGCCTCTAGATGCTATGGAAGAGACAGATTTGTTTTTCCAGATTTTGAAAAATAGAATGGCATTGTAACTAAAAACATGGGCATTGATATCAAGTAGACCTGGATGTGAATATGTGATTTTTTTTTATGTATTCTTAGTAAACAATAACTTTAGGAGACTTTCTTCACTTCTCACAAGCTGAGTCATGTCATCTGTAAAACTGGAAAATATTTGTTTCAAATTTAATTTATGCATTAAGTCAATGAGATAATGTATATGAAATATGTATAAACATACTTTGTTGGAATTC